TGAACATTATGCTATTACGTTTACTTGTTTCTGCATTTTCAATACGTAGCAGAGATAGTTAAAAATTTTTAAAGTTCTTTAGACAACTAAAGCAAATAAATAAGTACAATGAAATTATTTAATTTAAGAGAATGAAATTTTAGAGAATGAATTTTTTTTAATTTAAGAGAATTTGATTTAATGCAATTATTTTATTTAATTTACAAGTTCATTTTTATTTATTCATTTATGAACGGAAATGATCAACTGAATAAATTAAAGAGAAAAAAGCTCGTATTTTAACTATTAAAATGTTACAAATGATAATGAAAATCTGAAGAGAAGTTAATTATAATTAAAAAATGATTTGTAGATTGACAGTTCAGTATAGCTTCAGTAAGGAAATAACCGTTCACTTCACGCCACGTGGCGAGTCAACAGAAAAAGTGGCGACTTAAATTAAATAAGCAACTGGTAGCCTTCCCCCGTTGCTTTTTGATTAAGAATGTTTAATTATAAAAGTACATCAATGCAGAAAAAATCTGGAAAACAAAATTTTCATAATGTCGAATATCTCCATTTAAAATTTTGATCTTTCAGAATCCATCAATTTTAAGTGGAAAAATTCATTCTTCAAAAATTCAAATATTTCAAAGTTACAATTTGTACATTAAATGTTTTTTTCTTCCCAAATATTTTTAAATAAAATTCTTAAAATCTTAAGTTTAACTAAATTTTGTGACTTATTTATATTCATTTTATTTTTTATTGACTTTTTATGGCCATAGATTATTTCTCATATTAATTATTTTAAAAAATGTAATTCAACAATCGAGACTTTTAATAAAGTAATAAAAAGCCTCGAGAAAGGCAAATAAATTATTGTAAAACAATTAAGAAAGTAACAAAGAATAAAATAAATGGTGAATATTGTAGGAAAATAGCCCCTTATAGAACATTTTATAAACATGACGACTTTGCTGAACATTACTTAATTTTTTCAATGTTTTTAATACTAATTGTAATGTAGGAAAATAATAAATAAATCCATATATATTTTTAAAAATATAAAATAGTGACTGTTTTGTGCCATTTAAATGAATGCGCCTTTTTTACGTGTTATTTTTGATGCCAGTGGTGATACTTTTTGTTAATAAATTATAAAGTACTAACTTTGGACAAATACAAACTTTTCCTTAGTTGATGCGTGAATAAGTTAAAAAGCAATTGCTATAAAATTTTACTTCATTTGGTTGAATGGTTTGTTTGACATGATATTAGTTTATAATACGTGGTTACTGGAATTTCGTGTTAATTTTTGTTTCCAGCTATTCACTTTAGCATCTAATAACTAAGCTTCGTCGATAAATCACTCTGAATGAATCTCTTTTAAAAATAAGAACATTTTTAAAAATGAAAAAGATTATAAATAGGTAACAATGGTCTCTCAACAAGAAAACTTCTCTACAGCAAATATTTCCTTATAACGACATTTTTAGAAAAAAAATGTTTACAAATAAAAATTATAGTTTAAAAATAGAAGAGTAAAAGAAAAATATATTTCCTATGTCAAAAAGTAGTATTCTCCCTATAACGAGTTTTACTCGCTTGTTTTTTCGCTATTTTTTAGAGTCTTTCAGACATAAATATTTTCAGACTTTCATTAATTTTGGAACTTTTCAATCTTCGTTGTTTTCCAAGCTTCAATTTCTCAAACTTCCGTTCAAGTTTAGTTATTCTAATGTTATATTATAAAATTTTTAATTTATTATTTTAACCCACTGCTGATTCTGCAAGTAAAAAAATCGTATTTTAACCTGCAGTCTTCTCCGCATTTTATTTTATTTCATTATATCCGTCGTTCAACTGTCAACCCAACCTTTGGGTTTACGACAACTAATGTTCAACTCCGTAGCCTTGTAATTTGGAACCCCATCCAGAAGACAAGGAACTTTCTTGATCAGTACCCCAAAGGTATTTAATTATTATGGGAACATGGAGGACTTTGCGACTCGAGAGATTTAACGTGCATCTGTCACCATTTACTACACGGGGAGTCTTCGGCCGGTTGAGATCGAATCCACGAACTCTTGGACATGAGCCTAGTGCCCTACCAACCAGGCTATCCCGGCCTGTCTTCTCCGTATACCAAAACCGATTTTCCCATGTTTTTAGATAGGGAAATAGCGTATTAGGGATAATCAATTTTGCCCATTTAGTAAACCGCTAGTGGGTTATAACACAAATATTTAAACTTCCGGAAAAGTTTAAAATTAAAGTAACCAATTACAGTTAACATTTCGTCTGTAGAATGATTTAAACTTGGCGCTGTTTTTAAGATAAAAATTGAGCTTTGTGATAATTTTTAACTTAACAATTACTTCAAAATATAAAAACTGGACTTTATATGTCATTTCAAAACTTAAATTATTTGGAGAAGAAAATTTAGCTTAATTGGCAATTGAGAAATCGGGTAACTTCCTTATTATTTCTTCCTTATTATTAGAAGTTAATTCAGCTAAATAGGAATATTTAGCTGAATCAAATACAGTTCTTTTTAAAACTCTAACAATAACAAAATGCTGCATTCATGCCAAAACATAACGTTTATTAATGCATATTTTATTTAGGTAAACTCATTTCTTCAAATAATATAGAAGCTAAACATTAACTTTATGTTTACCCCATTATTTAAGTGGAAAATTTATCTTGAACAAGGAATAAATATGTGAAGATGAATGTTAACTCCACCACGAGTTAATAATTCGAAAACACACTTAGAATGAATATTTAATTTTTTTATGAATAATAATTTAAAGTTCTACGTATTTACTCAGATGATAATATAAATATTAATTTAACCTGCTTTTGAAATAATTTATGAACTGTTTTATGAAAATCTGCGTATTTAAGCCTTTCTAAAATTAAACACTGAAAGTAATGCCCATTTATTTAACAAATTTTGAATAATTACAGTAAAAGTGAAATAACGATTTTAATTATTCATATTATTCATAATTATATTATTAGATTTATTTTTTTAAAGTTAGAAAACGCCTCTAAATCCTAAAAGATTAATCAAAATATATTTTCAGATTCTATTAATAAGTGTGACAAAAAATACAAATTCAAAAGACGAAAATTACTAAATTTAATGAAAATCAAATTTAACGAAATGAATTACTTAAATAATATTTTTATTGATTTTCTACGTATAGTTACGAATATTTATTTAAGGTAGTCTAATCTAAGTAGTCAGTCTAATCTAATTAGTGAAATCTAAGTGTAAGTCTTGGATTAATGGTTAATTAAAATAAAAAAAGAATTTTGTATTAAATCTGATATCTTTAATTAAACGTTTGATTATGCTTATATACTGGAAGTATTAAATAATGTGTTCTTTAAATTGTCTAAAAGGCCAAGGTGTAATTAATGTTAAAATGGTTATATAAAGGCAATTTTTTCTGAAGTATATGTCCATATTTTTTTTCCATCTTGCTATTATTGCTTTAATAAATTTCAAAATTCAGCGATATTAAATTTCTTTATTGTAATATAAATTTATAAAGGAATTCCTATGTTAAATTCTGATTTCATAGCCTTTTTTATTTTAGTATTTTTGTGTTGTCTAATTTTTACGAATACCCCTCGGGCGAAACTTTTTATTACAGGGTGTTTCGTAGAAACCGCTTTTAACCGTATTTTTGGTATTCTTATTAAGAATAATGAAATTAAAATAAGAGTCGTAAGTCGATATTCAACTTTGGAAAAAAAACGATTGAAATCTTACTGACAACAATTTGGAAATGCGAGTACGAAAAATAACAAAGGATTGCCGGAGGAAACAGAACCTTATTAATGTGAACCTAATTAACTGACCTTATTAATGTGTGCAAAAAAAATTAAAACCTTTCTAATAAGTTTATAACCACAATAACTAACACAAATCGTACTATAATTATTTTGTGAACTATCATTATGCACAGAAATGAAAAAAGAAAGTAATAAAATAAAATGGACGAAAATTAAAATAAAAATACTCTTTTCGCATTAACTGTAAAGCGAGAATCAGCTACTGTACTTTACATAAAAAGTTGAAATTTTTTTTGTTGCCTTTAATGCTATTTTTCAGAATAATAAAAGTTGGTTTTTAACACAGTTAATAAAAGAAATTTATTAAAAAATATTTAAAAAGAAATATGAAGAGAAACTGCTGTGTTACTTATAATATATACAACTTCACCATGCGGATGTTAAAAGCATATTATTGGATTGCATTTCTATAAATTTTACCTTCACTGACATTACATATTTACATTGCATTATATATTCACTGACATTATATATTACATATTTTATTGCATATATATGGAAAATTCACATCTTTTATTGCATTAAACTTTCAAGACGTTTAAAAATAAGTTACGAAGCTTTCAAATTGTTTTGCAAGTAGCTTTGACTGTTAAAACATATAAATTATTTCGATAAACGCAGTTTTAATATTAACCTAATAGTATTACTTTATTGTATTTCTTTATCAATATTTAGTTAATTAATTGGCATCGAGATTTACGGTTAATGTACTGAAAATTTTATAATATTTTTGAGAAAAGAAATTAACAACAAGAAAAAGAACCTACAATACTAATGAGATCCACTTTTTCTTTTAAACAATTTTTAATATGCTAGATATTAGGCAGTAAATTTTGGATAGATAAGGTATAGTATCTCGAAATTGTTACACGTTTTAATTTAAATATTTACAAGAACTGTTTCGCCTTTTTAACGCATCTAACTAGATTATTATACTTAAATTGAATAATCAGAAAAATAAGGCGCAATTTGTTTTCAGTTTCTCATGATGTTTTTACCCTTTAAGCAATATTCATAGTTCTATTTGTTTCAATTTTAAATACGTCTAATCACATGTAAAATTCCTACAACTTCTAAATCTTCCTAAACTCACGACACTTTTCCACTTCTTAATATAAGATATTAAAAATGTTCCTTTTTTTTCTTAGAAACCAAAATAATGAATTTTGAACGAGCTTTGGCGCATTCGGTGATTCTTTTCCTTTGCTGGCTAACAGTTATGAGCCAAAGCACAATGGAAGAAGATCAAAACATTTCAGACAAGGTATGTACTTCTCTTCTTCACCAAGATTGTTCAGAAATTCATATCAAAATGTATATGAAAAGTACTGTTATGTTAAAGGGGGCCGTAAAAAATTGCCAAGTAGTGGGGATCGAATTTGGAACCTTTCATTTCAATGGTAAGTATAGGCAAAACTGAAGGCAGTGGTAATCATTCTTACAAAGATCAGTCGGACAAACGAGTACCGGGAAGTGGTACTTCACCATAAGAAAACTTAATTGTAGGGTTTACCGGGTAGTGGCACTTAACTTTAGAAAACTCAGTGTAGAAAATACCGGGCTGTGTCCTTTAAAATGAATAAAAACATCAGTGAAGGGTAAACGGGACAAGGAACTCACTTACCGTAATTTTATTTTATATTTTATATCCGTCGTTGAACAGCCTACCAAATTCTTGGCTTTACGACCACTGATGTTCAACTTCGCAGCCTTGTAATTTTAAACCAATTCAGAAGACAAGGAAACTCCTGTATCAGTACCCCCAGAGGTATTGATTTGTTATGGAAACATGGAGGACTTTGCGACTCGACAGATTTAACCCGCATCAGTCACCATTTACTACACGAGGAGTCTTCGTCCGGCTGGGATTAAACCCACGAACTCTTGGACATGGGTCTAGTGCTCTACCAACCAGGCTATCCTGGTCTCACTTTCCGAAATTAATCAGATTATTAAAAAAAATAATTATTATTACTGATGTAATATTATGTTTGGTGCTTGATTTATTGAAAAAAAGATTAAAAATCGCTAACACGGAACGGAAGGGTACCGTATGAAATTATATCTATCTCAAAAGAAATCAGTTCACATGGAAAAATTTAATGTATATAATTTCACATTTAATTGTCGGGATATAATTTCAAATTTTTTATAATTTCCTTAGTTAAAGTTTTTATAATTTCTTTTTCTCTATTTATATACTACACAAAACTTATATTTCATCATATTCGTTTGTATTTTTGGAATATTTTAAGACTTTTACGTTTTGAGAGTATATTTTTTTATCTGCAGATGGAAATATTGTTAGATGGAATATTGCTGGAAAGAAATATTGCTAGAGAAAATTTTACCGCTGATGATAAACATAGATCAATTTAAGTAATCTGTTTTAATAAAAAGAATTATTATCTTAAAATTGTATAAAACGGTTATCAAAACAATTTTATAATTTTTTGTTTGAAATAAAATAGTTTAACAAGAGCAGGATTGTTTACTTTGATATTACTCGCAAAATAATAATTATAACAAAATAACAATAGACAACAAAATATTTCCACTTACAGAACAAGATTATTTACCTTGATAATCATAAAATTCACCAGAGAATTTACAGAAGGAAATTAGAAACTTGTTCCTTCAATTTAAATTTGTTATAATAATTAAAGCGGATAAAGTAATAATAATCTAAAAGTAGTGTTAGTAAAGCGTTAGATAAAATTTTTTAACCATTTTCTTGAACTGCTTCAAGAATTAACAATTTTGTATTGTATGCTTAATTGTTTGTTTTGTGCCTTAATACAAAAAAAATATTAATTTGAGCATTTTAATTTTTCCCTGTAGAAATAATTTTTAAAAGCCGACTCATATTTAAATAGGAAAGACATCAAATATAGAATTTTCATTAAATATCAATTAGTAAGGTGAAAATAAACATTAACAGAAGGCTAGACTTATTTGATCTGTTCTGTAGTGATAAAAATTTCATTTTCAATTTGTTTACGTTATCAATATATTAGATAAAAATTGTATATTTTGTATGCAATTGTTTTCATAATTTAGAATATGTTTTATGATTGCAGTGAATTGTTTGACTTATTTTTTCAATAGTTTAGATTAATAAAACTGAAAATTTATTACATTTTTTAACATTCGTTCTTTCTAAAAATAATGTTTACTTTTTTTATTGAATGATATCGTTAGAAAGTAAATAGAAATGCGTTTTTGCCCATATTTGCAAAAAACTATATAATTCAAAAACTATTTGTCGTGATTTTAGAAACTTCTTTTATTAATATTATTTGCTTTGCCCTAAAAAATTTCCAAAAAAATTAATGACGTTAAAAGAAAATTTAAAAAGATAAAATGCAAGCCATTTGAAAGATTTATTTATTTTTACACGCCATTTTATTTGATAGAAATATACATTACAATTTCTTCTCGAATATATAAACAAACATTAATCTAACCCTTATTCCATTCTTCAATTTTCATTTCAGTATTTTTATTGCAAAGTATAGATTCTCGTCTTTAATGCGAGGAAGAAAAAAAAAACATTAACTTAACTGAAATCATTAAACTCAGCTAATAAAACATTTCAATTTTATTAGGTAAACCAAGAGATGTTAAACAGCAGGCTAGCTAAATATGGCCCAGACATGCGATCAGTTTTGAGTGGTTTGATTCGATTTCAACACGCAAAACGACCTGATGAATCCTACAGATTCCCCATGTTGAGTATCGCCAACAGAAGCAAAGGATCCGCACCAACTGTTGATGATCCCTTGGCGGCCGCTTTGGCGACAGGATTTCTCGGATCGAGAGGAAAGAGGAATGATTACGATGAAATCCCAGTGTTTGCTAATGGCTTCCCTGCTGGAAGAGGTTAAGCACAAAGAAAAGTCGATTAAGAGAAACTGACTGTGATGCCATTTTATTCAGACGTGAGGCCAGATGTGCTTTAGTTTCATGAATAAAATTTATGAAATTTGATTATAGTGACTGCCGTGTCTTTTATTTTATTTGAATTTTTTTTAATTTGAAAATAAAATTAAAGAAGTATTAATTATTTAAAGAAATTTTAAATTAACTAATAAATTTAGTCTTACTTTAATTTGTCTACATTATTCGACGCACTGTAAGATTCTATGTAAAATCTTAATTATCAGGTGATACTGTACAGCTTTATTGTTTTTTAGGGACTGAAACCGGTTTGCACTTGCTTACGTTCGTGTGTCAATTGGTGAAATGAGATATATAATATAAATTTGACAATTGGATAAATTAGACGATATACTATATAAATATTGAATCTTTTTTATATCAACCATTATATTAGTATATTATAATAATTAGATCAACTATTAGACGCACTGTAGTTTTTAATAATTACATGATTTGCACGTGTTTATATGCAATACTTTTATATTTAAACATACATGGAATAGGTTTAATTCAGGAGATTTTTTATATACTTCCTATTTGTATTTATTTTTAACGTATTGCATTACAATGTTAACCAATTGATACAGGAACGTAAACAAATGCAAACCGGTTTCATCCGAGTAAAAACAATACAGCTGTATAGTATCACCTGATAATTATAATTTTACGTAGAATCTTATAGTGCGTCTAATAAGGACTGTTTGTATATGTTCGTCTTACGTGGTACCAGAATTATCGTTTTTTCCTTATCTACGTTGGCAACACTAGGGATACCTGTAAGTGACGTAGTGTGGGTAGCTCGATCCTGATTGGTTGTTGAAGCGTGGCATTTATTTACGTTAGCTACAGTTCTTTACATTCTATTTCTAATAAGACAAGCCCATCAAGTATTAATTCTCTTAAATGCTACGTTCTGTTTTCTTACACGATTCTCTTACAAATATTTCAATTTTTTTCACTACACATATTTCTTACTTAACACTAAGACAAGCATGAAGCGATGCAGGACGCAAACAAACTAATTATGCATCGAAGTTGCCAGGTACACAAAACCGAAACGTATCACTGCTACAATAAAATACATGAACAAAAAATGAATATAAGTTTTAAAAAAAGACGTAGAAGGGAAATAATTGTATTTCAATAAATTCGATGTGTGATATGGCACTGTATTGAATTAACTTTAAGTTAATTAACATTCTAACTTATGTGGAGAGACTTAGCTCAACTGTAACGCGCCATTTTGCTTATAATAACTTATTTGGCAAGATTTATACTTAATTATGACTTAATTGTGTTGTTTGGTAGTAAATTTGAAAAATAAGAGTCTATAATCTTAACAACACTAGCTTACATTAGTAAGTTAAAAATGTTCAGTTTATTAGCTTGTTTTCGGTTGTCAAGTATATTTTTTATATAGCCTTTAGAAATATAAAATCAAACCAACCTTTTAAATTATGAAGACAGAGTTTTACGATAAACCCTTACCATAATGAGCAAAAAAATTTAACAAGCGACTGTCTTAAATCCCTTTCATTTTGGTGTCAATCATCAGTGTTTTACTTTTTTTTTCTTCTTTTTTTTAATCAAAAATATCTTAATCTTACAAGCATGCTTTTTTTGCCAGAATTTTTCTCAGTGTACCGTACTCTAAATAAACAAAGTTAAACTCCCGAATAAATATTGATTTAATGATCACGCATAGTTGCAGTAGTAGTTCATTTACGTGGCACTAGATCTGCAGAATGGGCTATTGGCGCCGGTCTGGGAGCCATGAGAATTTCGATCCTCTGGTGAGGGGATGGCACCCCCGCTTCAGTAGGCCAACGACCTGCACGCGAAGTCGAGCACTTTACGCACACCCTCGGTTCCTACGCAGACTGATTTAAGTGGTCACCCACCAGCACACTGACCACATCTAGTGATACTTGACTTCGGTGATCTGCTCGGAACCGTGTCTTAGCGACCAGATGATCACGCCTAATTTCACTCGATGCGAATCAATCTTAATGGTTGAAGAACCTCACTTTTAACAGGCTAATTAATTAGTGCAGACTATATATTAAGTTATGCACTCAGACACCGAAGCAAACTCTCTCTAATGATCTTAGTAGATCAAAGATCGGTAGATCAAAGGTTATTCAGTGTGTTCGCTATTTTTAATTTCTTTCCGTACTTTATTACCATTTTCCATTCGTCTTCATATATGGACTACTTTATGTGGCTGATTATTAATGTATTAATCATTTTTTCTCCCTTTTTTTGTTAAGGTTTGAATTTTTAATTCTTACGTGACTAAAAACTTTAGATTACTATTTAACTTTTAAACATCTAGAAAGTGATAAAAAATTTTCTTTTTGTATTACATTAGCTCAATTAGCAGGTAAAAATTATTCCTTTGAATATAAAAACTGTATTGCAAGAGCTCTCACTGTATTGCAAGAGCTGACTGCGCTGTCATTACGTTTCAACATGACGTTACATTTTCTTTTGTTGCGCAAAAGCTATAAAACATAGAAACTTGAAATTGCGAAGTTGTGTAAAACAGTGTACAAGGATTACAATGGAATAAAGAAAAAAAGAAAAAATCCGACAATTTCAGTTCGAGATTATCAAGCAGTTAAATTTGAAGGAAATAATACCATGTTTTGCCTATATGTAGCCAGCTGAGATGCAAGTGCAGAATTAAAGTTTAAGATGCTGAAAAAACAATTTTTATTTCTGAACTAAAGCACATTTTGTTTCGAAATCACAATTGGTTCGAATCCATTGCAAATTTTTGTGCTCTTCGTGATTTTTTTCACGATTATTGTTGTAAAAAATTTATCCTTCCCTCATGAGATTTCATTTCTTTATTTTATAAGCTTGCTCACGAGTAGATGTCAATAAAAAGTAACAAAATAGAGAGAGATTATTTGTTGCCAGATATAAATTTACAGTAATTTTTTTAAAAATACGAAATTTCATAAACATCGATAAAAACCATTCCTTATTTGAATTGTTAGATGCAAACGAGAAAAAATACAGCTAATTTATTTTTTTTTCTAATTGTGTCCCACAGTCACAACCCGTATTCTTTTGATTCTTTTTTTCTTTTTTTTTTTTACAGTTAATTATTTTTCAATGCGCAATCGTCTATTTCTTTAAGAAAAAATATTAACAAAGTGTTCTTACAAAATGTTTCAAATATTGCATATTTTGAAAAGGAAATGTTCTCTGTTTACGTTTAAGAAAAAACAAACAAACAATGATGAATAAAAATCAACTACAGGGGTTGTTGAGCGGAGCGAGCTGGGGGCAAAGATTCCTAGTATTGAAAGATTTTGTAATGACTTACGTTGATTCCTGTCACTAGACTTTATAGTATATTGGCTCTAGAAATTTTACAGTGATTGAAATGTTACCACTTTATAGTGAATTATAAGTTGTTAAAATTGAATTTTAGATATGTGCTAAACTTTTTATATCATTTTTTTTAAGTTTACTTCTTGCTAAGAATGATTTTGCTTGGTTTTTCCTTCTTTTTATTCTAATTTTTTTCATTCTAAATTTTTAAACATTTAAACTATAAAACTAAAGGGAAGTCTTTGAAATAAAATATTTAAATATTCAATTATAGAATGTTTATAAATAAAAAAAAAACTAAGCAATAGAAGTTTAAAGTTAAAAAAAAAAAAAGAGGTTACGAAGATGAAGAATGTGAAGAATCTGACTTATAACTTTAACTATTTCTATCTTTCTTCCGTAATATTAGTTTACTCCGTAATATTTAAGCAAATATTCCACAAATAAAACCTTTTTCATTTATTTAAGGTTGTTTTAGTTTTTAATTTAAAAAAGTTTCTTTTGAGCTTAAGAAAATATGCCATCATGAGAGAATCTTCAGCGCTTAAGGAATAGATTACTTACAGTGAAGGAATGTTATTTTATAAACACGCAACCCTTTTCATTAATTATGATTAAGGTTCAGAAAGAAAACTAAACCTCCGCCTAAATTAAAGGATAAGAACGCGATAAATAATTCTTTTCATTCTCGAAATAAAAATTACTTTCTCCAAATGAACAAAACGGTAGTAAATTAAGATATAACAAAGCGTCCATTAAAACGAAACTACAACTTTCCAACAATGGCAACCCATCCATATATTTCTCTTAAACAATGGACCGCCAAAATACGTTTATGAAAACAATAAAAAGTGGCGAAAACTCTTTAGTTATCAGAAATGCCGGGAGCGCCAAGCCCTCTTTTTCGATACACCGCACGCATGCGTCAAATGTTTTGCCCTTCTGTAGTTGGTCATTCTTCATTCCCAATTCATTCGGTGCCGCAACACCGGCAAGTTTGAGTGTCGTTGATGAGAACAGTCAGAATGGACAGTTGTCACTGTTACGCGCGACACCATTGTCAGCCAACCCCGCTTGTGACACACTTCGCCCTTTGTGTTTTTTTCACCGCGGAGTGCGAATAAATAATTATAAATAAAAAAAAGTTTCTTCCCACGTTCTACGATTTTTGATGGTTCAGTGGTGACGTAAAGCCGTTTTTCCCGCCGTACACGTGGTGTTGGAAACATCGTCTGCTTTCCCTGCGAATCATGGATTACTTTTGGAATCGTTTTCACTGCCCGACATCGCCTGCGTTTTTGATTATTCGTGTTTTCTAAACATGTGAATTTCTGTAAATCACGTGCCGATCTTTTTTGCATTTAACTTGTAAAAAGAAGAAAAAAAAATGCTTTAAATTTCTGTGATATGGAAACTGTACTTAAAGAAATACTTATGGCTTTCAATATATTAGTTTTTCTACTAGTTAGCATTTGTGGAGGTAAGATTTAATTTGTATTTAATATCCGTGTGTTTGTTTAAAATACTAATATGTTTTCTGATATAACAAATATTTTTATTTGGGTAAAATAATAGATAATTTATAAACTTACGACAGTTATTTAATTATTAGTTTATAGAAATTTCAATTAGGTTCTTGCTCTGTGAATAAATATTAGTTGCTCAAGAATTAAATATTTCAATGTATAAGAAAGTAATGAATTTGTAGAAATTTTATGAAAAGGAGAATTGAATAAACTTAGAAAATATTGAACAGAGAACGTGCTAATATTTAATTAATATAGAACATATTGATTATAATGATTGTAATTAATTAGTTAAATATAATTAACTATTTTATCTCCGTATATATAAAACAGAATATAGTATAAAACTAAGTTATACCGTTGCAGTTATTTAAGTAAATGAAGCAAAATTTCTAGTCCACATTATAAGTTTTTCTCTTCATTAAAAAAAATCATACGGCCATTTTGAATTTAACATTCATTAATTTGTTCCATAACCATTAAATGTTGAAGTTGTAGTAAATATATCATTCGAGCCAATCTGTTCTCTTCTGAAATTGGTTCTAAAGCTATTTAAATTTTAATTGTTTTTTTTCGGGAATTTTCTCTCATTTATTTATTGTTTTGCTTATAAATATTGACTATCTGCCAATTGTTGTAGAAAATCTCGAGATATTTATTTTTTAAACTCACGCTTAAGTTAATGTCAATCAAAAGTGACAAAAAGAGATAGTTAGATATTAGATGCTGCAATGTAAATCGTAACATTTATATAAAAACTTTTAATTCTTTAAAATAAAATCTTAATGTAAGAGAAATAAAAATCGTTCCCTATTTAAACTATTATAAGTCTTAATGACGAAAATTACTTTTGTTTCAATTTCACACACGATCTATATTCCTTAGATTATATATATATCGTTCTTTTCGTTCCTATTAATGAAATACTCTTACATAAAATTAGAATATTTGTATATTTTTTAAACAAAATGTTCGTTGTTTTTGTGGAAAATATTGACTGTTATATATACCAATGTTCGTGTTAACAACAACTCGGTGGAAGCAGTCGTCAACATATTGTCTCTGTAACCGATAAGTTCCAAGTCAAGTCAAAATTCTCACAATATGCTTCTTAAATTAATATTGAAGCAAGAAAAAAAAACGATATTGAAATTTGTCGAATTACTTGTTAGAAAAGGGAGATGAAAAACATTAAAACCATTTTAAATTCCCTGTGAAACTCAGAGTTGTTTCTAATAATTGAACAATCGAACAGATTCTGAAGTTTTCCCGCCTTTTTCAGTGAGAATTAGTTGGCAACTTCAATAATGTTTTTATTGTTTTTAAAATTTGAATTGCAAATGTAATCAGCAAACGGTTTTGACTTCATTTAAAAAGTTTTTCATTCTAGAAATATAAAGTGCAGCTATTACATAATACTCTACATAATACTGTTATGAACAAATTTTATAATAAGTATTTTTCTTCAGTTTTCTTTACTTAATTAATTATGAATCATTCAAACACAAGTCAAAGGAGTGCCCAATATACGTTTAAAGTATGTTTTATTTTAAACCATATGTTACTCTAGTGTTACTCAAACTAAAGTAATACAAGTAATGTATATTTTTATTAAACATATTTAATTTCGATTTATCAACATTAAGAAATAAAAACTGATTAAAACATTATTTATTATTAAATAAATATGGGCAAAGAACTTATTAATACAAATATTTTCTCCTCGTTGTTTCTTTTTTTATTTTTTTTTATTTTTTAACTTTTTGTCTTTTTTTCCCGATAAAGTGGTCCAACAAATATAATGTAGGCATGTCGCCTCCCTTACCTCTTGTCAATAAAAAAATCAAATATCGAACACCTACCCTACCTTCTTTTTTTAAAATAGTTTACCTTATTTCAAAGTGCTTGCGTAAATAAAGCGTAAGCATATTTTTTCTACCATTTTGGTGCTTTACCCTTTCAGAATTCAATAAAGTAAAACCCTACCTCCAACATTATACACACTTTTTTTCACGAGGCTATGGTACCTTCAATATGTACGCCTGAGAGTCGCTGTGGCTTAGGGGATAGAGCGCTCACCTCCTAATGAGGTATCCCAGGTTCGAATTCCAGTGGTGGCTGGATGATACGAGTTCTGTTCCCGGCTCAAACTGACGACAGTGCTGATAAAAAATAATTTCAGTGTTATATAGATCATGGGTTAGAGTCCCCTTGTCGTCAAACTAACTGTGGAAGGTTTTCGTGGTTTTCCTGTCCATGCAACGCAACTATGGTTTAGTTACATCAAAAGGTTCTCCACGAAGGATAGTTAGTTTCAATGATTAATACAGGAGTTCCCTTGTCATCTGGATTGGACTCACAATTACAAGGCTGTGGAGTTAAACAGTGATAGTTGTGAACTGTTCAACGCCGTTTGTATATATAAAGAAATAATAAAAAAGAAATATGTACGCATCGTTTTACTTCTGAACAAAAATAAGTAAATTGCAAATCTTCTATATCATTTTTAGTCAAACGTCGGTTCTCAAACACTATTTGCAGGTCCGTGATCTTACTACCACGTAAGTAGGGAAATTGTTTGAGCAATCATCAAATCGAAGATTATAATCGCTATTCATTTCAATGAACATTCGTTCCATGAATAATGTTCAATTATATTCCGGATAAGAACTAGATAATAATATCTTTATGAAAAGCATTTACGATTTTATTGCTTATGAGTGTTGTTAGAACAAAATATTGATTTCGACTTGATCTTTTTTGCCTGCTTTACATGTTGCTGTAACTGGTTCGACACCCAGTATTGGTATGTTCATCAGCAATAAATAACACCAGCATATGCAAAACTTCACTCATTTAATTGTTTGGAAATTATTTTATTTCCTTATAATAATTATTTCGTAAATTGTTGTATTCTTTTGTATTTTTTTATTTGTATTTAATAAAATAAATTTTATTTAACTTTTGATATGTTAAATTTAAAAATACTTTTCATTGTAGAAAATATGTAAATAATCGGGAAAAAAATGTTTGTTGTCAATAGTCCTAATTACTATTGGGTTATTGGCGTAATTTTTACTAGTCCGCAATAAAACATTTAATCAGTCTTCTGAGTAAATAGGATTGAGATACACTGCTCTATATAATACGTATACTATTTTAAGGATATTTGCGCAGTTTCAAAATGCCTACGTAAAATATTACGTAAGCATATGTTTGGAGATTTTTGGGCTCTTTTATAAGCTGTCAACGAAAATAAGCATTAAATTACGAAGTCCTAACATCATGCATTCCTATTTTAAGATGATTACCTATTATTTCAACTGACCTTAATAAGAAACATTGAATTGCTGAAAAATTGTTTTGTTCCCTTGCACTAACACATGTGCCGTACTAACAATTTCTAAAAAAAGAAAGACTTAACTAATTTTTTATTTTTTAATTTCTGTCTAAGTTTAAATAAACTTATTATATTTAAAATGCGTAAGATGTCGAGAAATATGAATTTAAACTAATTTTATGAAATATATATATAAAAAATTAAGCATTGTATGCTGAATGAATGAAAATTGTTTATATTAATTTTAAATAAAATGTGACTGATTTTCGTTTTCTTTATAGAAGCATATTTTCAGACAAAACGAACCAAAAAGACTCTTTCTTTTCATTATTATTCGTTTTACATAAAAACTTAAAAAATTAAAAACACTTTTTTTCCTAACTAGTAGCATGAAATAAATTTATAATTTACTAAAACTATGTTTAATTTCTAAGTAAAAAATATAAAATGACTGAGTCAAAAATAACTAGATGAATATTAAGAAAAAAAATTACTAAAATATTTTTTTAAAAGTTTGTTTAAATTAAGAAGAAAANACTAATTTTCGTTTTCTTTATAGAAGCATATTTTCAGACAAAACGAACCAAAAAGACTCTTTCTTTTCATTATTATTCGTTTCACATAAAAACTTAAAAAATTAAAAACACTTTTTTTTTCTAAATGTTTGAGTAGTAGCATGAAATAAATTTATAATTTACTAAAATTATGTTCAATTTCTAAGTAAAAAATATAAAATGACTGTGTCAAAAATAATTAAATGAACATTAAGAAAAAAAATTACTAAAATATTTTTTTTAAACATTTGTTTAAATTAAAAAGAAAAACATATATACAGGGTGTTTATAAAGTCCCGGACCCATTTTGATGTTTAATAACTCATAAAATAATAGAGATATATTAAAATTAATGACATAAATGGTTAGATAGACTCAAAAAATTTCATGACCCTTGTCAACGAACTTTCACGTGTGCCCTCTTCGTCGCATGGAGAATATCAAGTCAATAGTCAATTTCACACCAGGTAGCGGCAAGCATGTCGGCATCCACAGAGGCTATTGCGGTTGTAATTCTGAGTTTTAGGTCATCAATGTTCGACACGATCCTCCTGTAAACATTGTCCTTTATAAATCTCAGAAGAAAAAAGTCCAGCGGCGTTATATCAGGTGATCTGGGTGGCCAAGGAATTGGACCTCCTCGCCCAATCCATCTTCCTGGAAAATGGTCATTCAAAGAACTACGAACGATGATACCCCAATGAGGTGGTGCATCATCTTGTTGCAAAAGGACATGTGGCTAAAGTTCTTCTAGTTGTGGAAATACGAAGTTTTCCAACATGTCTAAGTATACGACTGATGAGACCGTCTTTTCTGTAAAAAAGAAAGGCCCAATAACTCGGTCGTGCATTAGTCCACACCACACATTAACCTTTGGGGAATCCCTTTGTGTCTCACGGTATTCATGGGGGTTTTCAGATCCCCATATGCGCACATTATACTGATTAACAATGCCGGAAACATGAAAGGATGCTTCGTCGGAGAACATTATGCGCTTCAGAAAATCAGCATCATCTTCTGCGTGAAATTGACTTGATATTCTCCGTGCGACGAAGGGGAC